GTATGTCAGTATAAGACGAGATATAAAGTTTAATATATGTCAGTATAAGACGAGATATAAAGTTTAATGTATGTCAGTATAAGACGAAATATAAAGTTTAATGTATGTCAGTATAAGACAAGATATAAAGTTTAATATATGTCAGGATAAGATAAGATATGAAGGTTAACATATGTCAGTGTAAGACAAGATATAAAGTTTAATGTATGTCAGTATAATATAAGACATGAAGGTTAACATATGTCAGTATAAGACAAGATATAAAGTTTAATGTATGTCAGTATAAGACAAGATATAAAGTTTAATATATGTCAGTATAAGACAAAACATGAAGGCTCACATATATCAGTATAAGACTAAACATGAAGGTTAACATATATCAATATAAGACAAGACATGAAGGCTCACATATATCAATATAAGACCAAACATGAAGGTTAACATATATCAATATAAGACCAAACATGAAGGTGAACATATATCAGTATAAGACTAAACATGAAGGTTAACATATATCAATATAAGACCAAACATGAAGGTTAACATATATCAATATAAGACCAAACATGAAGGTTAACATATATCAATATAAGACCAAACATGAAGCTTAACATATATCAATATAAGACCAAACATGAAGCTTAACATATATCAATATAAGACCAAACATGAAGGTGAACATATATCAATATAAGACCAAACATGAAGGTTAACATATATCAATATAAGACCAAACATGAAGGTTAACATATATCAATATAAGACCAAACATGAAGCTTAACATATATCAATATAAGACCAAACATGAAGGTGAACATATATCAATATAAGACCAAACATGAAGGTTAACATATATCAATATAAGACAAAACATGAAGGTTAACATATATCAATATAAGACAAGACATGAAGGTTCATTGCTGCTGTCTTCTAAGTTGGTCAACTAAAAGTGTGTTGATACTTTTATGGGTTTTTCTCGATTGTGGGGTTCGTTTTTCTAGAAGACCATTAAAACCGAAGTTGGTGTATACAAGCTGTTCCTTCAATTCGGTTGGTGTTATGTGTTGAGTTAGTGTATACAAACTGTTCCTTCAATCAACACATATCACCAGCCGAAGTTAGTGTATACAAACTGTTCCTTCAATCAACACATATCACCAGCCGAAGTTAGTGTATACAAACTGTTC